GGTTTAGCGGTGTAAAAGAATTTTAAACGGTGCTTTTTATGTCTCTAAATATAACCCCCCTACAAGTCAGATGTCCGAATATAAATGATTTTGGATTGCCTGATTTTAGTCAGTGGATGTTTTGCTTATGTTGATCACAGACTGGAGATCAGATCCTTTAATTTACAAAAACATGGCTGTTAGGCCGCATCCACCGCATGCTGAACACATTTGAAGCAGCCTTTTAATTCTGACTTTGTGTATATCGCCGGTAATGTCAGTTTACACCGCGCGTTTTTACGCACGGGTTTACATGGGGAATTATGACAAAAGCAACAAAAGCAGCGGCCGGAAAGACACACAGAGAGATGGAGAGGGAGAAATGAAGGTATGAAGAGGAGCGTGGAGAAGGAGGAGGAAGGGGGGGGGGTGCTGTGTGTGCGGGGCGGGGGTGTGCGGAGCTGATTTATCTCAGGAGCCCCCCGGTCATTTCCATATATTGAAATGCGCCCCCAGTCCCTCAATTTACCCGGAGCTGTCGTGCGTGCAGGAGAAGGCGCGCATGTGACCACCGCCGGTCTGATGCCCTGTAGTCTCTCTCCGCTCTTTTCACGCTCCTTACAAAGCCTAAATTCTTCCCCCCCCTTCACCGTTTTATGAACCATCATCAAAGTACTCCGCTGCCCATTCACCCAGCGTCTATATGTACTGAATATATAGGCTGATGGAAGTTGTAGCCGCCTTAACAAGCGAATAAAAGTGCTGAATACGAGGAATAAAGTTAAAGATGGCAGAGTGTGGCCTACATATGGAGCAGAAAATATACTGCAATATCACTTTTTATCTGTGCACACACACCTGAGCGCGGCCCGTGGCTCCCAGATTTATTCCTGGCGATCTCTCCTAATTCCTCCCTCTATAATTTTAAGATCAGGTTATAATAAAATATCAAATATGCGATATATATCCGCGCATACACAAACATGCACCCGGGCCCCCGCTTCTTTCATGTATGCAGAGTGCTGCTGCTGCTGCTGCACCTCCACAGCATTAAGCATGCAGCCTGACTGATTTATGACGGAACCAGGCGACGAGCTGCCATTTACATATAGAGATTCCCCTGCGCGCTCCCCGAGTCCGAGCAGCTCTGCGGGCTTTGATCAATGTCCCGCCTTGGCTTGGAGTGTGTGCGAGTATGTGTGTGTGTGTTAGAGGAGGTAGAGGAGGGAGAAAGAGGAGGAGGAGGAGATGGGAAGAAGAGAAAAAGGGAAAAACATTCTTTGTTGCCGACAGATGGAGAGGGGTGTAGCGAGAGGTCAAGGTTAGTGCTCTCGGATGCGCGTGTAGAGGTTATAAAAACGAGGGGCCCTTTAGGTGTGGGCACCGACTGGGGATGGCATGGACCCTCCGAACCAGCGGAACAAGTTTCCCTCATATTCCTTCAACACACCATTTACAGTCAGTTGTTGCTCCACTTTGTGCGTAAAAGCTCGTGGGGGACGTGACGATTTGGGAGTTTGGCACAAAAATGATGCCAATTTTACATCCAGCCACTTGCTGATAAGCCGTAAAATCAGTTAATAAATACCAATCACATGATAAAGTCTCAGCTTCCTTCTGGATGTTTTTTTACGCGGGTGCACCTCCGAACACTCCGCCGTGTCACACAGGCTTCTAGTGTTACTGGATCAGGTTTAGTGGATGCGGTGGCCGCCTGTCGCCGTCCACACAGTAGCAGGCCACCCAGGACACCCGATGCCCGGGAAGGAAAGCTGAAATCCCCCCGTTTATCCCCAGTTACGCTCTTTAAAACGGACGCGTCGTTACTGTGTACTTTATACGGATCTTTAACGTGTTTCAAATCCTTCTACACGATTTCTTTTAAAGGTGTGTGTCCGCATCACTGACACACCATTTTAGTTTTGTGAAATTAAGACTGAGGCGTTAACATCCACCTGATGAAAACTGTGCAAAAACATTTTTACGCACTTTCCAAGGCAAGAAAATCTACTCTTAATTTCCACATAACGTTCACTATTTGTGTTTTGTTGGATTCAGTTTGGTCCCGATAATGAAACAAATATCACATTTCTAAATCGATTCTTTAACCTCGAGCTAAAGCGCGGCTTCTTTTCAGGTATATTAAAAATAATTCGGGTTAAAAACGTCTGTCCCTCTCTGTAATCTTACACCCTGCCTTAAATAGATTCCTGATTGCTTGTCAGCGCCTGCCTGCAAAGAAAACAAATTACACCTCTCAATAATAATAATAATAATAATCCTCCCATATTTCATTTACAGACATAGGTAGTAGTTCAAATCTGCAGGTTAGAAAGGACAGTCCTCAAATCTACTAACATTTTCATTTTGACTTTTCTGATTACAAATAAAGAATTGGAATGCTGTGGTTCATAAGTCTGAGCCCACTTTGGAATTCATATTTTATTATAAACTTTAGATCAAATACACCTGAGCGCGAAACCTGCCTGAACTTGGACGCACAGTCACAAACGGGATAATCACTCTATGTGGGATAATCGTCGTGCGCGCGCGTCCCGCACACGCACGCGCGCGCACACATACACCGGTCCGTCTAATAAGCCATGCAGCGAGTTGCAACCTGCAAAATATTTCACTCACTGGTCATGCATTTTTCCCCCTTGACGTTGAACCTCCTCCTCCTCCTCCGGCTTCTCTCTCTCCCCCCTGTCTCTCTCGCTCTCTCTCTCTCTCTCTTCTTTCTCTGTGTCTCTCTCCCATCACTCCCCCCCTCTCCTCCTCCTCCTCCTCCTCCTCCTCCTCCTCTGTCTTGCCTCCCTCCACCACCCCCACCCCTTCTGTATTAAGTGCGCGTCCTCTTCGGTCAGTGCGCGTAGCTCCAGGTCTCCGAGGCGCCCACTGGAGTCGCCGCTGCCGCCGCCGACGCCGCTGCTGCCGCCGCCGCCGCCGCTGCTCCTCCGCCGGGCTCCTCCGCTCTGGAGCCGCTGCCAGTTGCCGCTTTCCGGGCGACTCTCTCCGTCTTTCCTGCTCCTGTATCATCCCTTCCTTTCTCCCTCCAATTCCAACACCAGCGGCTCTCTCTTCTTCCCAATTTGCGCCGCGTGTCCTCACTTGATAACCGCGTTCTCAAAGCCCCGCATCGCGTCGGGCTGCGCTGCGCCTTCGCCGTTTTAAGCCCCGCGTCTTATATTACCAAACCCCCTTTATTACAAGAGTATTTACAATCTCTTCCCCCTCCTCTTCTTCTTCGTCTTCCTCCTCCTTCTCCTCCTCTCCACCCCCCCACCGCTACCACCAACACACCCTCCCCTGTACCGTATGCAGCTCGAACCTGAGGCACATCTGAAAGTTATTACACGGGGCGCTTATGGGCCCGCTCGCACTCCCACGGTCTGTGCGGGGCTGCAGTTTGGATTTCAGACAGATAGACAGACAGACACTTCCACACACTCTCGGAGGGAGGCTTTGGACCCTATAGTGCCCCATCTAAATTGCACCGCACCTCCTCCTCCTCCTACCCCCACCACCACCACCACCACAACCAAATACACACACCTCCGTTGGTATCCACAATGCATTTCAATCTATGAGACTCACGCATGTCAAAGTGACCCAGACGTTAAGATCAGACAATAATTCATCCAGTTTCTTAAAATAGAGTGAAAAACATTAACCAGTGAACCTTTTCCTGTAAGTTAAGTATTATTTCACTGATGCAGCATGGTGGTATGGTTTATTTAGCACACTTCTAACGATTTTTGTTCGAAGTGTGAGTTTGTGAATTATAATAGGAATAATTAAGCAGCTTGTGTGTTGTATAGTGCAGCTCACCATCAGAGCCACTAAAGCCTAATAAATATGCGCAGGAAACTATTTTTAGAAAACTTAAGAAAAAGACATTTAAATAAGGCACTTCCAGGCGTTCGGTGTAAAATAATATTCTTTCTTTTATGTGGTTGTTATTATTATTTTTATTATTGGTGCGCACAGCGGAGCGCTTTGTGAGCTCTATGGGAAGCACATGTGAAGCCACCCAGGTTATAGCCGGTGTCTGTATTTCTGCTGGTTGTTCAACCTGTCTGTCCTGTTCGCTGCAACCGGATAGTTGCTCCTTGTCATTTTAACATCTCTCTCTCTCTCTTTCTTTCTCTGTCATATCCATTTATATGCACACGCTTTAAGGGCGCACACACACGCGCGCGTCCAGGTGAGCTTTGTGGCCAGCTCTGCGCGCTTTTCTCGGACCGGAGCAGCGGCCACCACATGCGACAGACTTTGTCCACACTCACTCACACGCTGCTCCGGTCTGTAGAATATATGCAGCAGTATTATATCCGCCCCCTCCAGTGAGCTCCTGTCCGCGGCTTCCCCTGTTTTGCGTCCACCTCTCTCTCTCTCTCTCTCTCTCTCTCTCTCTCTCTCTCT